ATGTTTCGTTCCCATCCCCAACTGATGCGGGATCTCACACTTTTAAATTCTTATGACTGAACCACCGAAAAAAAATACACCTTAGCAGTATAGATAGAGACACTAATTTTTTTAACCATTTTATTACCAAGATCACTCACTCAACGTGGTCTCAGTTCATTCATATATTTCTCATTTATCCCAACGTAAAATTATTTATATTAAAAATGATATTTAAAAAATTATTCCACGTACTAAGAAAAAGGACCAAGTTGATAAATGGAATATATGTGTATATATATATATTATAAAGTATGATGTGACAATATTTTTATAGCATATCTACATCGAGTTGGGGAAAAAGGACCAAGTTGGCTGGAATATGTCCTTTTATTAACTTAATTAATTAAACTTTTCTTTTTAGTCCTTCAATTTATTTTGACTTTTCACTCTTCCCCTACTCCAAAAAATATTTTCCTTTTCCCCCTATAAATAAAACTCATATCTCTTTACGATAATTTAATAAAATAAAATTTGTATATCGTAACCGAGTAAATTTATAAAGTTTAATTGATTTTATATTTGACGATTTAAAATATTGAGATTTCAAAATCAACCCGTCTTGATGGGGCAGGATGACTTTTTTCTTTCACAATAATAGATTTAGACGATTATCCCTACCTTCTGTTTCTTACAAGTTTACGTCTATCCCTAGTCGGGTTCTTTCTCCCTTATACCCCCCAAACTGACTTGACAAGGAATCCATTCTCGTGACACAAAATACAACCCCTACACACATCTAAGAGCACGCTTCATGTCTATTCATACAAGACCCGAGTATGTGGGTCGAGGTTTGGCCAGCTACCCACTACTAGGAATACCCTCACAAAAGGAAAAAGATGTGTCTATTAGATTCGGCTCTTATTAGTTGGGTTGGACGGGTTCGACTAGAAATGTTATGTTTACACACAAGACTAATCCTCTCGCATCTTTAGCATAATAAATGTCAAAATTTTATTTTTATTTTTTGATTTAGATTTTTCTCTCATGGTATAACATTTATTCCCTCTTGTCACGGTCGTGAAATAAATGAAATAAAGTTAAAACTATCATATCTGCCTTCGGAATCAAATAAGATAAGGTCGATAAAATTTCATAAATAGACTTTATGCATTGATAAAACCCTCGTGTAATCGGCCTCTATAAAATTTTAGCTGATTATAAATTATAATTCAAATATTTAAAATTATAGGGTCTAAATTCTATATTTATTATTTATGTTTTCAATATATAAAATTAAAAATAAAAAAAATATATAAAAAAAACACATGAAGTTGTCAGCCTTCAATATTCTTTTTAAATTAAAGGATATTTTTCTGACAAGTTTTATGATGCTGAAACATTATTCAAACATCAATGAGAGATTCTAATTTAGGAAATTAGCATAAAATTTATTATTATTTTTAATTTAATATTTTAATGTAATCTACCCGACATGTTTTATTAATGAATTGTCCTAGATTAGAGTTATCTAGCTCGGCCATAATAAACACATGGAATCAACCCATACGCTTATGGTTAATTCCTGAAAATCATGAACGATCATCATTTGACCAAAATCAGAACTCCAATCCCCTTCAGAAACCATAAAATAAACATATAGATTCATCTCGACGATGAACTTATCTAGGATAGGTCTTGAGCGAGTGGCCTTGTTTTAAAGACAATGGTCCATGTGGATATCAAAGTAGTTGGCTTGGGCACGAGATCACTGCACTCGCGATTAACTACGAAGCCGCGTCTAGTAAATAGCGGACATGAATTAACTACATATGAACCAAAATATAATACATGATAAGCTATGCAAGGCATAGACATGATTATGTTGTTATCTATGGCATCAACCAACGGTTTTCTGCCTACTATGTCACGATTATGTGCCTATGTGTTATGATGATACTATGATGGTATTCTAGAGGGTTACTAATTACCTCTAGCAGCGACGTTATCATTTACAGTTAGTGCATATATATATAGTACTAGGTCAAAAATCTAGAGGGTCATTAATCTTTTTTAGTAGTGCTAGAGTCATTTACCGCTAACCCACATATGTATGATGCTACTATGATGAGACTCAAGACGTGTGAGATCCCACATTGGTTGGAGAAGGGAACGAAACATTCCTTATAAGGGTGTGAAAATCTCTCCCTAGTCGACGTGTTTTAAAACTATGAAGCTGACGACGATACACAATGAGCTAAAACAAACAATATCTACTAGCGATGGGCTTGAGCTATTACAAGACGTTCATCAGCTACCTCTAGTATCGAAGGAGTCATTTATGGCTGACCCACGTTGATAGCTTAGCTAGTTTGACAGAATTTCAGCTATTTGCATACCTAGACCAGTTAAGCCTAGATGTATGTACGCTACGTTTCAAGATAAGTACAAATGTTCGGTCAAGGCCCATTAAGTGCAAAGTATCAAAAACCTATAATTTTAGGTTTAAGTATTTATCGGTCGTTAGTACAATACATTATGTTTTACACACTTATAAAAGTCATTTTTAGCTCTTATATTGATCCAACTTTTTCCACACTTACTTAAGAACAATAATGCTTTGAAAATAAGTAAAACATGCTCCAGATACGTCGTCGAAAGACCTCCGAAAATATATGCATTTATAACCATTTCAGTCATCGCTATCCTTATATTATCGAGTATCTACCTATGTCAATATCTTTCTCAGTGAATCGATCTGTATACAAAATATTCTTAAAACTTTCCAAAAAAAAGTTAAAAAAAAAAGTTTCAAAAATAGTTTTGAACTTTAAAAAATATCTGTACAATTTTAAAACATTTATAAAAAAAAATACACAAAAAAAAAATCACCTCGGAACTTCTTTTTTAAACTTTTTTTTAGTTTATATGTATTAATTTTATTTTTGAAAGTTCATTTTATGAACGCTGTCTTAATGGTTTCTTCCATATACTAACGCTAACAGTATTAACGATTTTTATAAAAAATTAACGATAAAAATATTCTTAAAAGTTAAAAAAATATTTTAAAACAATGTACAAAATTCCGAGTGAAAGTTCAAAACTAAATTCATTCGGGAGCGATCCCTATATAGTATTTTTTTTATTTTAAAAAATGCTAATAAATCAGGATAGTTTTCTTGAACCATTTTAGTTGGGCCTAGACCTGGCTGTATGGCCCAAACATATATTTAATATATATATATATATATATATTTTCTTTTTAATCTTTTAACATTTTTTTGGTGATATATAAAATCCAAAATTACTCCAATTTTAGTCAAAAGTGGTAAAGATTAAATTGGACAAAACAAGATAAGAACAAATAATAATAATAAATGTTTTGTGGAATTTTATGTAAAAAAACCTTAAAATAATAGATTTTCATGGCCACATGTTTTTTAATTTGTCAAAAGAATATATCAAATCCTTAAAGACATAGATTTATTATTATTTTCTTTAATTGGAAATAATATAAATATTAGGTGTTAAATGTTTGTTTATTATTTAAAAATTATAAATTGGAAAAAGAAAAAGGTATCATATAGAAAATTAATAGTCTTTAAATTGAAAATTTTGCATGTTACTTCATTGCTTAGGTGGCTAGTTATCAAAGTTGTACAATCGGTCAAACTGAAATACTGTGCTCGTATTGTATTATTGGGTCTATATATCGAAACTTATCCTTCCTAGTAAAACGTGGTATGTTCGAAGACTAGTATGACTAGCACGACAACCTCGAGCACGTTTCTCGCTTGTTGTTTTAGAAAGATGACCTTGTAGAATTTATTAATCTACGGATTGAGTTAAAAATAGGGTTATTCTATCTGTTTTTGGTAGATCGTGACCAAATCACTGTGTTCTTGCTTATAGATATGGAAGGTGGGTCACTTTCGAGGAAAATAAAACACCTTTATCGGATTAGAATCGATGACATCGAATGTGTTGTTCGGCTTCGTGAGTCTACATGTGTAACAGCCCAAGCCCATTGCTAACAGATATTATCCACTTTGCCCCTTTACTTATCGCCGTCAACTTTACGATTCCACACCCTTATAAGGAATGTTTCGTTCTCCCATCCAACCGATGTGGGATCTCACAATCCACCTCTCTTGGGGGCCAACGTTCTTGTAGCACACCGACCAGTGTTTGACTTTGATACCATTTGTAACAACCAAAATCCACTACTAACAGGTATTGTCCGTTTTGGCCCCACCTCTCTTAGAGGCTAGCGTTCTCGTAGTACACCGATCAGTGTTTGACTTTGATGCCATTTCTGACAACCAAAACCTACTACTAGCCGATATTGTTTGTTTTGGCTCCACCTCTTTTGGGGGGCCATCGTTCTCGTAGCCCACCGACCAGTGTTTGACTTTGATACCATTTGTTACAACCAAAACCTACTACTAGCAGATATTGTTCATTTTGTCCCCACCTCTCTTGGGGGCCATCGTTCTTGTAGCACACTGACCCGTATTTGACTTTGATACCATTTGTAACAACCAAAACCCACTACTAGTAGATATTGTTCGTTTTGACCACACCTCTCTTGGGGGCCATTGTTCTCGTAACACACCGACCAGTGTTTAACTTCGACACCATTTGTAACAACCAAAATCCACTACTAGCCGATATTGTCCGTTTTGGCCTGTTACATATCACCATCAACCTGGTTTCCCAAACTCTTGTAAGAAATGTTTCGTTACTCTCTCCAACCAATGTAGGGTCTCACAATATGTCTTTCTCGTTGCTCCCAACGACTTTTGGAAAAGTTAAGGAAAGACGGGCAGCCATGTTAGAAAAGTAATAATAGGTTGAAAATCGTACACATGGAAACATTGGACAAGTACGCATTCTACGTTTTTTCTTGCGCCACCAATGTTTTTCAAACATCTCTCCTTCTACGAAGCTCACATCAAAACCCTACAAAAACACCTATCTCCTCCTCCTTCACAAACACCCATCTTTTTTTCCCCTCTTTAATGGAGAATCTTAAAAGCCTTCCTAATCATCTTCGTCACGAGAAACTCGAAGCTTCGAACTACCGAGCAACAATGGCGAACAAACCCATCAAAGTTAAGTACATTTCAAGTCCCATGATGGTGAAGGCCAACAACGAGTTTGAGTTTCGAGCCATAGTTCAGAAGCTCACCGGCCAACACTCGGCCGATGATGCTTTTGATCGATCACCTCAAGAATTCAACCATGCTTTTTGTCCCCCGTCGTCTACGGTGACTTCTTTTGACTCGAAGGATTGTTATGATTTGGTTTCTAGTGATGCTTACGATCCGATCGGGGTCGGTGAAATGAAAGATTCTTTATATGGGTTTCAAGCTTCTTATGTTGATGTATGGAGATGAAAGTGAATTTTGTATTTAGTATTTTAGAGATAATTAATATAAATTTCATTTTGTTTTACCTTTTGCGAATGAGATGACCGAAAACTTAGAATTGAAAGTTACTATTTATACCATTATGATATCTCTTCTTTTTTAGTGGCTCAATCATAGAAACTTCATAGTTGAGCGTCCTTTACTTTGAGCAATTTTATGTTCGATGACCTCTTGAAAATTTCTTTAAAAGGCATGTAAGTGAGGACAAAACATGTTAGGATGACTCGTGTTTGTTGGTCTGTGGGGAGAGAGACAGAGTTTGACATGGAATTTTTGAATCTAAGAAAGGAACATGATATCAAATGCCAACGAGATATGTCCACATCAGCACGTTAATACATATATTCAAATCTCGAGGCTCAACTCTAGATAAGTGTGGAAGAGTACAGCTCACCAAATATTTTTCCATTTGCTTTCTTTTTCCTTAGATATTGTTTATATTACCTACTCCCACTTTCCCCTCCCTTTCCTCGAAACTAACCCTCCTTATCTACGGTATTTTTTTCTCTCTTTCGATTCGTTCAGCTCGATAGTAATTGATGTGTACTTTCAATCGAGAAGTCAGAGGTTGGGACCACTCTACTTCTCGAACCCTCTTTTATCTTTAAAAACTAAATTTACGGCTGAAAGTAAGGGTGTTAAAAAAAATTCGATGATCCGAAAATTTGAGTTGATTCACGGGTTTCTTTAATTCAATTCAAATAAATTATTAATTTAAAAAATACATTATTTTGTCCAACTTGAAATATACTTTATTTTTAGGCATCAACTTGTCGTATTATTGAAGCTTTGAAAGTTTAAGGATGTTACTTAATAAGATAAAAAATACTTAAATATTTTCTACCGTTTAGCCATATTAATACTTTATTTTAATTCCTTAAACGGGAATGATTTACATTGGATTGCTCAGACAAAGAAGTACCCCAAGTTAAACACGTTTGAGTTTTTATGATCGAGTGACTGAAAAGACAAGCGCATATCATCTCGGTTCATTCATGCTCTTCTTGTTTGGGACCATAACCTCTAATGCTTAAAGCATCTGCCCCGAACTTCGATCATAGTCGATGGGTTCGGTTTAAAAGCATCCACAACTTTTTCCTCTATGGAAATTAATAGTTTTGTCGTTTATGAATTTGTTTATTTTTCTTTGGAAAAGATTATGTTGATTGATAAATGATTGTGATTGATGTTGATTTTAAATTTGATTAGTATTAGTAAACCAAATGAATTTCAAACAACTATGGCCATAGATGTGACTAGTAAATATATGATAGAAAACATTTTGAAAATTTCAATATGTATTCAAACTCCAAATTTGACTTGAAAGTCTACTTTATCGGTTTTATTTTTGTTTCGGTTTAAATTATATTTTAGCTCGTGTACTTTGAATTAGGGGTATATATTGAACACGAGAATCTGAGTACTTGAACCGACCCAACCTAAATTATAAGGGTTGGGCTGGATTATACAGCATTTTGGGTTAAAAAGGATCAGATCAACTCGACCCAACTCGATTACGTTAAAAAAAAAAAGTGAGCTATTACGCACTCTTTCAAGGGTGGTTGCTTCTAGGGAAATCTCCTAGCTGTCTCTGCACCCTACCTCCTTTATCACTAAGCGGTCATTTAGGGGCTTTAGCTGGTGATTCGGGCTTTAGCTAGGGACTTTGATCCTTGTTATTTTAAGATCATATCTAGTATTCTGAGTTTGCCTCGATTTGTTACCACTCTCGCGGCCCGCACTAAAACAGTGCTTTACCCGCACTCAACGTATTTTGGGAGAACTAGCTAGCTCTGGGTTCGAGTGACATTTCACCCCTAACCACAACTCATCTGCTGATTCTTCAACATCAGTTAGTTTAGACCTCCACTTAGTTTTTTCACCCAAGCTTAACGGACAGGTAGTCTTGGGTTCAACTCAGGCATTAAAAAAATTTTAGGCTTAGCACTCGCTAACTTAGTAGCGAGCCAACGACACCTTTTCATGTTTCAAGGCCAAGAATATTGACCCGAGTTCTTCTTCCTCTCAAGTCCCGACTTGCGTTCTTCTTCCTCCTCACATCAAACTTCAACAATCTTTGAGCATCAGACTCCAACACATTAGGGTTTTTGAAGTTCGAGTTCTTCTTCTTCCACATATTCGTGACCCATCCCAATCCAACCCATGTACATACCCTACTTTGAATTTCATTTTATTTTATTTTATTCTAGTTCATGCAGTTTCAAACGTTTCATTCGATCCATATGCTTTCAATAAATCTTAAAATCAGTCACTACCAAGAAAACATCAACTGAAGCCTTAGGTTGACGTTGAACCCATGAAAAAATGTTGATAAAAAAGTCAACTCTATGTGGATCAAATCAGGGTGTTTGGTCAAATAGCCAAAATCACTCTCAAACATGTTTTTTTATGTAGTCTCGAAACCTCTTCTCTATGGCAAGAGGTCGATGAAAACGAATATTTTTTTTTTTTTTTTTTGTGGTAATTAAGGTTGACAAAACAATTTGAATCAAAACATTATTCTGAACTGATGACTTATTGTTATATATAAAGGTAATGGAAACAATCTCAGGGAAAATACAACTAAGAGATCTATGACAGGATGATGCCTTCTACTTCACTGGCTGTCTCAAGAACTCTAAAAACTCTGTAAACAAAGCTGGGCTACAACGAATGCTAGCAAGTGATTTCAAGCAATTTCTAAGCCATAATTTGGAGGCAGAGTTGGCTCCATTTCACCTCAAACTGCAGGGAATGTTTGAATCTGAGGAACCCTTTGAGGACATAAGCCTGTGGGGGGTTCCAATTCAGTTTGAATCTTGACAGTTTATGCTCCGACATGAAGAAACCGGAGATTCGTCTGTTAGTCTGTTCGAGGTAACAAGAAACTAAAGCCTGAGTTCTCCCGAATCAGTGGCGGTGGTTCGATGTCTCCGATGTCTATTTGCTCCATAGACTTTGATAAATCATCAACTGAGAATGGAATACTGGAGTACAAGCAACAGACATGTTAAGGTTGTTCTTGTTTTGTGTTTTCCCAAGAAAGAAAATTCAAAAGATAGATTAGTTCGCTAATTAAGAGGAAGATCATAGGTTTATGTACGGAACACTATCTCCATTAGTGCAACAGCTCAAGCCCACCGCTAAGCAGATATTGTCCTATTTGGGATTCCCCTCAAGGTTTTTAAAACGTGGCTGCGAAGGAGAGGTTTCCACACCCTTATAAAGAAGGCTTCGTTCTCCTTCTCCCATCGATGTTGGACCTCCCAACTCCACCGCCTTCGAGGCCTAGCATTCTTGCTGGCACACCGCCACATGTCCATCCCCCTTCGGGGATCAACCTCCTCGCTGCACATCGCTTGGTGTCTGGCTTTGATACCATTTGTAACAGCCCAAGCCCACCGCTATAGCAGATATTGTCCTCTTTGGGCTTCCTCTCAAGGTTCTTAAACGCATCTGCTAGAGAGAGGTTTCCACACTCTTATAAAGAATGCTTCTTTCTCCTCTCCAACCGATGGGGAATCTCACAATTAGTATGAGAACTTTTGGAAAAATCAAAAGCAAACCAATGAGAGCTTACGCTCAAAGTGGATAAAATATCGCACCATTGGGGAAGGTCGTGGTTTCTAACAAGATTAGTGACAATATTATTGATACTAACCTCGAATCGTCGTCCAATAGAAATGAATTACTAATTGCATGGTTCGAATCTTCAGTCATTAACACCCTCATATTGGATATAACCTAGGAGAACATTCAAACAATAAAGATCTATGCACTTTTGAAAAAAAAATGAACATAAACAAGGGTGCTTCATACAAAAAATGATAGAATGTGTAAGATCTTACATCAGGGGACACACTATGAGTACCATACTTGTCGTCCCAGTACATCGTACTGATACGATACAGCTGCTGTATACTTAGTACCTGCAAGCGAAGAATTTGGTTTCGTGAATTCCAAGGAAACGGTGAATAACTGCAAAAAACAGTTCTCGTGTATAAGCAGTGAATACAAAATGCTTAGACGTCACTTACGGGGCATAGATCGTGACTTATTTCGTCTAACGTCTTCTTTGGCTTCTGATGAATAACCTATTACATTACAAAAACAAGAATTCACCCCCGTTTCCTGTTTTCTAATTCAAAAAAATTTCGTGTAAGGAGTTGAACATAGTAAAATAATAGAGAGATACCAGAAACCCGATCGCTTGTCGTATATGCTTTAGCTCGTCCCAAGCAGAACCTGCATACTGTAGTTTCATTTCATCATTTAGTAACTGTATTTAACAAAACAAACAAGGTAAAGCAGCATATTCAAGGTACCTCATCAGTAGCTTTATAACACCAATGCTCTAATTCAGACAGTCCAGCTTTGACGTATTCACCGTTGCTAAACGAACAACACTCTCGTCGTAATAGAAGACTGTCGAAAAAGTAACCGACTGAGAAAAGTTCTTAGTTAAGTACTTCAGGAACAAGAAATGGAAGAGCTCAACACCTGTTAAATAGTTGAACGTTGATGAAAGAAAATATTTGTATGAAGACTTTACGAACCAAAAATGGAGGTACCTACAATGACATGAAACACATGAATGAATCAGGAAAAGAAAATTGTTTCAAAACAATCAAAAAGGTTCTGCATACATGATTTGCTTTTAAGGTGTTCAAGAAGTTCCCGAGGCTCTTCACGATTCCTTGCCAGTGAGCGATTAAGGCACGTTGCGCCTCCGTGGTGGCAACTGAACGAGAAGATCCCTTAACCAAACTTGCCCTTGATGTTCTTGGTGCCTTTTTCATATTACATGAACAGAACTTAGTAATTTGGAAGAAATGAAACTAAAGAAGTTAACCAGTTAACTACACATACCTGGATGCACAATCCTAGCAATGGAGAAATTTCTTTCTTCAAATTGTCTCTTATCATTCCATAAATTTTCTCTACATAGGCTGTCAGCTGCTGCTTGA